CACTAGCGGGCACACGAATAACATGACCATATCGGAGACAAAACAGGCAGAAGTTAACAGAAAAATCACGATTCACAATCACTTTCAGATCATCACTTTCAAATCATCAGGACAGTCACTTAAATTCCAAGTAGGCATGCTCAATTTAATGAAAACCATAAAACATTTCACTTCAAATCAATCACACTTGCGTAAAATGGGTTTAGCCCCCGCCACCACTTCAAAAACAAATCAAAACATGCTTTTAAAACAGCACGGGCATTACCATAAATTACTTACCTCACTCGCATAAAACCGAGCACTCAATTCACGTACTAAACTGACAGAACGATCGGGAACCTAATCAAAACACCTCAGAATTAATACCGAACTATCACAAATTCAAGATAAACTCATCATTAGGATCATTCCTAATCACAAAGCTATTTCTATCACTTTCCACATGATCGGACATCTCCAAATTCGTTCTCATATCACAAACTAATCATTTAAATTCCCGTTAAATGTTGGCCCTCGGGGTGTGAACAGTAACATGTGAACAGTACCCCCGTGAACAGTACCCCGACGTGAACAGTAATTCCACTTCCACAATTGGCCAAAACACTAGCTAATCTCACGGGATTTTCTCTCCAAAAATCACAACAATTAATCAAGCTAATTTACACTTAAACCAAGCTTAAAACATGCTCAAAGGCTATCGGGATTTCCCCCATTTTTCTACCAAAATTCGGACATCACACGGCAGCAAACTGATCAAGCTAATTCTACCTTAATCAAGCTTAAAAACAATGGTTTAAGGTTGCCACATACCAGAATTTTCCAACTAAAACCGGAGCTGCAGGGGGAAGAGAAGCCGGCGGCAATTTGGAGAAGAAGCTCACGGGTTCTACCCAAAAATTGAAGGAACCAAGAGCAATTAATATAAACCCAAGCCAATTCAAGCAAGAACAAAGGAATTTAATGGCTATTTCTTACCCAAAACCCAAGCAATTCGCCCCCCACAAGCAGGAGCAGCCGGCGATGAGGAGCAGAGCATAGCAGATCCAGTTTTCCAGCAGGGGGAGGGGAAATTTCTGGATTCTAGGTGTGTTCTAGAGCAAGAAAGGAAGGAGAAAACCAAGCTTATCTCACTAGTTTCCCAAGGCATGGCTGGGTTCCTCTTTTTTTTTTTTTGGCTGCAGCGGGAAGAAGAAGAAGAAGAGTAGAATCGGGCTGAGAAGAAAGAGGAAAAGGAGAAAAAGAAAAGAAGTCATCCTTATCCAAAATCTTTCCCTCTTTAAGTCCCTCAACTTTCAAACTTTTAGCTATTAAGCCCAAAACAATATTTTCTCACACAAAACCCTTACTTAAATGCTAAAATAGCACAAAATTTTGGGGTATTACATTTTTCTAGGTACAAAGGTTGACTACTTCATTGATACGAGTTGAGGCAAAGGAGGTTTTAATCTATTGATCA